ACATAGCCTCAACTAAAAAGCTTTTCAGATAAGTATGCCAACATTTTTTGTGCCTTTCCATGGCTTCTTCATCGTAGCTTGAAGTGTCTTTATCTAATGAGGCCATGTACATACCCAATGTCGTAGCTTTGCCTTTTCCTTCTCATTATCGCAATCTTATTTTCGACTTGACTTTAGCTTTAATAGCTTTAATGACAATAGTTTTTCTCAAGCTGAAGTTCATTGAGCAGATTCGCATTTTCATTTGAGATCTTTGTCTTGTGATGCATGACTTGCCTTTGCCTTTTTGTTGAGCTTTGGTTGCATTTAGATCACGGAGATTCGACACCTAATGACAGGATCTATATCTTCACTATCTTGATTTGAAGAAGTATAAGCACGATGCATTTACCTTGCTTCTCTTGTTCATCATTTCTTCAATTGGGTAAGCTTTACTCCACTTTGGTTGATCCTTCAGCGCTTTCCACCAATATTCAAGTGCAAAAGGCCTCTTTTTTTCTTGGCGGCTACTTTGCGCCGCAAAGACGAGCCCTTTCCATAACTTGATCATCGGATTCACCACTAGCATGGTCTCTCTTCTCCTTTTCATAGCATGAATTGAAAATGGTAATGAAAGGGATAGTCTTGGTCCAATGATTTTTCATTGAGCACCTGTTTTTCTTCGATCTTTGGGTGCAGTCAAATTGTACTCTCTTTGCAACATCCTTCCAAAGACCTATCTCCTCTTCTATCAATTCCAACAATTGGATCGGTGGAATGTTTCACCAAGCACTAACTAACCGAAGGTTGTCCTCCGGACTCCAGAACAAACGACCTTCCTTCTTTTCACTTTCTTCAGGGCTGCTTTCATTGTCACTCCAAACTGGTGTGTTTGCAGGAGGAACACCAGTCTGTTGTTGCTCTTGGGACACTGGAGAAGATGAACCAATGGGGCTGCTCTCATCAACCCGTGAATTAGCCCCTCGGAAACCTTGGAAGAAACCCATGGATCCAACTTGTGATGCATGACCAACCCCTTGTGGGTATTGTTCCATCCCTTGGTAAGAGGTACCTTGGTAGCTTCCTTGTGATGGGAATGGGAATTGTGGGTAGTTTGTTTGGGATCCAAAGGGACCGAACATGTGTGAATACTGGGGGTGGAAAGGGGTAGGAAATTGTGGTGGATAGTTCATGGGGTATTGGGGTGAAGGAAAATGATGTTGCTGCCTAGCTAGATTTTGTGGCTCACCACTTGGATTTTGTGGCTCACCACTTTGTATTGCAGAGTTCAAAATATTTGTCAGAGATGAAGCTGTGTTCTCCATGGCTACAGAGGGAGGGAATAGAGAGAGATCTATGTGTTCATGTACAGGTAGTTACTTGTATTTATAGATATTTGACAACGGTCATGTTTACTTCAAATGTGCAGTCCATGTGAGCGTTGAATATTGAAGGCTGTGTGCCCAGCGTCTATGTGTTTTGAACTTGAAGGTGCAGTGCGTGTGTATGCCTTGTGAAGGTCGTGTGCCAACGGCTTTGTAACTGATACGACAGCGCTTTAAAGTGAACAATTATTATTTATGTTTTGGCACCGGGTGAATGAAGATTCACCGCTTCCAACTTTTCTGGCCCCAATCAAAACAAGCACCACTTGTTGTAGTGTTGGGAGTGATGCCCAAACACTCTCTCTCCTCTTTTGGGCATCACTCTCTGACCACACTGCAGAAGGCCTAAAGGCCACGGGATCTGGGACGGCATCAAACATCCGCACATCACATGATTGGCCTACCTAGGCACTAGGCTTAGGCTAGTGTCGTCAGAAGGGAACAGGTGATGACTGGCCAGTCAGGGATCAGCTGGAAAATGGTCGTTTAATTCGTCGGGTTGGCTCGGCACGGATCTCCCCCGAGATCCTGTACTGAGGCTGTGTTTAGTTGGAAAAAGAAATTTTTTGAATGTTACATCGGATATTTCGAGGATGTCGGAAGAGGTTTAGGTATTAATAAAAAAATTAATTACATAGCTCGTCTGGAAACTGCGAGACAAATTTATTAAGCATAATTAATTCATCATTAGCGCATGCTAGTTACTGTAGCATTTATGGCTAATCATAGACTAATTAGTCTTAAAACATTCGTCTCGCGGTTTTCAACCAAACTGTGCAATTAATTTTTTTTCATCTATATTTAATACTTCATACATGTGCCACAAGATTCGATGTGATAGTTTAAGGTGAAAACTTTTGCGAACTAAACCAGACCTGAATCCGCTGCTGTTCTCATTGGTGTCACACATCGTCCCACCGCACTGTTTGACATTAACGGCTGGTTACTGTTTTACGTGCACAAGGGACGAGCACAAACAGACAGCGGCCGATGGTTGGCAAACAGTACTACGTAAGGTGCATTTGCACGGTTGCCCTCGCTTCATTGTGTGTTTGCTTTTCTTTTCTTTTCTTTTCTTTTCTTTTCTTTTCGGTTTTTGCACCGATTGCCTTTGTTTTGACCTAGTCAACGTGCTGTTGTCCCGACTTTGATTTGGTGATAAAAAGGTAGCAAAAGCACACACGGCGGGCAGTGGTGTGTTGTTCTTTTGAATGTTGGCTGTGGTGTGTTGACTTAGTTAGGGAGTGTTTAGTCTGTGAAATAAAGTGGTTTATCATCATCTCACGGGCTGTTCGGCTGATGATTTTTGTGGTGATAAGCCGGCTAATGCTGTTTTGTTGTGAAAAAAAAACACTGTACCATATTTGATAAGCCGGGCTGATAAGTTCTAGCGAACAGGGCGTCACTCTTTAGTTTTTGGAATAGAATGAGTTGATTAATCACCGCTCATTCCTTACAAGATAATAATTAGTACTAGGATAATGAGATCATTCCACTAAACTTAAGAAATGTACTCTTAAAGTTGTATAAATGACGCATAGTTTATTTAAACTTTATAAGCTACTCACTCCGTTCTAAAGTAATTGCACGTATTTTCTAAAAAATATTTTTTAAACTTGACTAGATTTATAGGAAACATTATTAGCTTTTGTGTATATATAATGAAATCTATTATTAATCTACCAATATTTATTATGCAAAATAAATATTAATATATTAATTTATTTATATATTTTTTGAATTTTTAAAAACAAATTCTTAAAAAATGAGATTTATAGTTATTTTGAGACAGAGAAAGTAGATGTGTTAATGCAATTGTTTGTCCCAATAGGCCAATAGCTAAGTGATCACCGGTGCAAGTACACAACCGTGAATATATAATCGGGACAGGCCTTTACACTAGGATGCGCATACCGTTTTTTTTTTATCAATGTGCATGCCGTTCTTGACGGAACTGAGTGGCGAAGGGATACCGGTCACCGGAGGCTGGCAAAAAGCTGAAGCCAAGGACCATATCTGATGAGGACATCGCCATACTGGACACATCGACGCCATAGTCTTCCCCAAGTTATAATTCGTTCCCAACTCAGCTGCCACGTCGTCCTTGGATTCAGCAGACACGTCGTCACTATTTCGGTCATAACTTTTTCATACGACATCGAAACGGGTCGTTCTTGGATGCGTTGGAAAGGGGATGACGACGCCGTCGTTTTGGATCTGGTCCCAGCTCCAAAAGGTCCGTGAATCATTCTGTGTGACCACGGCAAGGTGCTGCGTTACCTATTTGGGCCAACTTGGCCATGTATCGTGTCGGGCCTTAAGCCCAAGTTGTGGACGCCCAACCTGGCGTCCCCAACCCTAGGTCGAGTCTTAGACTATAAACACACCGCCGCCGCCATTGCTAAACAATTGGGTTTTGTTTAGAGTTTAGTTTTCCATCGAGAAACCAGAATCGTTCATTGTAACGTGGTGACAAATCCTTTACTGAGGATCCGGGGCCCCGTTCTTGATCTCCTCCATCGTGTCGATTAGTCCTTTGGAACCGAAGTTCTAGAACCCTCTATTGATATTCGTGTCATTCATATTTGTAATATCGAGTTGCGTGTTTTACCTTCTTACTTGTGCTCTTGATTCGCTTGCGGGAAAAGCCTTCTTGGCGAGGTCAATAAAGTTGTGCTTGGTTGATAACCAACGGAGCAAATGGTGTAACAGTTGCCAGGGGTTCGAATCGCGTCTGATTTGAAGCCGGATCGCCAACGTCGAGTAATCTCCACAAATCAAACTTACCGGCTACCTCTCGGAAGATCGGGCCTGTACTCATCAATATCATACACACAATGCGTCTCTAGTGGACTGGTACCGTGGTACATCAAATCTCACTCGAGTAATCTTTCTGCATGGTGCACGCAAGTCACGCATACAACTATGTGTGTATGATAACCTCTTCTCTATATAACTAAAAAGAGCCATGACGCTTTTACACGAGAGCCCTTAACACGTACCCTGATGGCCTGACTAATGATTAACATGCCCCGCACGGTCCAGGGAGTAATCTGTTCTCTGGGCGTCCGTTGATTAATTACTAATCAATATACTGAGGACGGAGGAGGAGTCTGCCCGCGGTTCCGTAGGGGCTTTGACGATGACAGTTCTATCCACAATCCACTTTGGTTTCGTGGCCTCAACGGCCCATTTGAGTGGACTGGGCCTATTGATTGCGCTCTTGCAGCCCCAAATCAATCTAGTCCGTGCTGATAGGCAGAACTGAAATTCCGAAGCACAGAGCCAGCTCGGGCAGTCCGCAGTCGGGCGCACGGCGCAGGCCTCGAGCGGTCGAGCCCTCGACCTCTTCCTCTCGGTGTGGATCCGTTCTCACCTCACGGTGCTCCGTGCTCGAGGCTCGACCCCACCCACCCACCGACGGCCGCCTAGGCCGCTGCCCGCCGCCCATAAGGCAGCACCGCAGAGGCTGCCGGCAGCCAGCGCCGCCCACCCAGCGCGCGCGTGCGGCGTGTCCAGCAGGGGCCGCGGGCCGCTCGCCGCTCGTCGGCGCACCCAGTCGGGAACGCATTTACGGATGCAGGGCTGGATCTGAAGAGGCGCTGACGAAAATTGGAGGGCCGCGCCAGTCTGGGGATGGGGAGGCTGGTCGTCGCGGCGGCGGTGGCCGCGTGGGCGTTCCCGATTGCGGCTTTGGTGAACTCCGTAGTGCCAGAGCCCTACATGGTCAGTTCCTTCTCTTCCATTCTAAAGCACGCAAAGCTTATTAAGTGTGCTTCTAGTGAACGCTGTTTCATGTTCATCAGGTTGCAATGGCCTACTGAGGATGGAAACAAAAAATTGAGCTGAACTAGCTAATTGGCTGGATGCGCACTGTATGCTTATAGGAAATAGCTTCGCCCAAGTGATCTAGCCAAATTCTTTTCATAAATACATGCAAAGACACTTTTGTGTTTGATATGTATTTTGTACTTTTATAAATGTAAATATAACACTGAGCATTTACTCAAATGTTCAGGGTATTGTTCCATTCAGAAACACAAGTAAATAATCCATGCATCACATAAGCCATGGCTTTCTAGAAAATGGAATTCTCAAAAATTTTATTAGTTGAGCAGGCAGCCGGGTAGTCATAATATTTATATATTTGTTAGGAACTACTTGGGGGATTGTTCTCATCTTGTTATACATTAGTTTCAAAATTGTAGATACTAACCATGAAAAATTCAGTGAATGCTAACCCATGCCTTGTGTGTTTAGGATGAGATATTCCATGTTCCACAGGCACAGCAGTATTGCCGTGGAGATTTCTGGACATGGGATCCCATGATCACCACCCCTCCTGGCCTGTGAGTTTTTGACAATTCCTCATTGCTTCAAGCTCAAATTTACCCCATGATGGATCGTTGTTGCAATTTTGCAGGTATTATGTTTCACTAGCATATATTGCTTCTTTCTTTCCTGTTGCCTGGATGTTTCGGGTAGCAAAAACATTTGATGTTCTTTGCTCCACAGTAGCACTCAGATCAACTAATGTTATCTTGGCAATGGTCTGCGCTGTTCTTTTTCATGACCTGCTTTTGTGCATCCAGCCAGGAATTGGAGAAAGGAAGGCAACTACCTACGCTATTCTTGTAGCATTGTATCCTGTTCACTGGTTCTTCACCTTTCTTTATTACACTGATGTTGCATCATTAGCTGCAGTTCTTGCAATGTACCTATTCTGCTTGAAGAAACAGTTCTGGATCAGTGCAACGGTGAGTGATTGAACTAATGCTTTCTAGAAAGTTCACACTTTATGTTACATATATACGCTATTGTTGCATTCACAACATAAACTTATTAGGATCCTATGCTGACCCATATCATCCCCTTATAGCATAACCATTTTTATTATAATTATTTACTGTAGGAGGCGATAGGTGCCTTGTGATTTGTATCCCCCGCTTCTGTGTATATTGCCATACTTAAGGCAGCATGTTCTCCTAGATTGTTAATTGATAGATTATACCTGCATTTTAGGAACAGGCAGTCAGGGTCTTGATGTTTGTCATAAATTTGTTGATGATCATTAACTTAAATAAATTTCTTTTGTTGTGCAGTTTGGTGTTTTTTCAATCCTTTTTCGTCAGACAAATGTAATATGGATTATATTTTTTGCTGCCAATGGTGCTATCACATACGTAAAAGACTTGTATCCCAAGGACAATGTTTCTCATGAGAACAGTGAACCAACACATCAGTCAAGAAAAGCTTCTGTCAGGGATAACAAAATTAGTGCTCAAGGTTTGAGAAGACGGCGAATCAATAATCCCATAAGGAAGAAGGTCATTGTTTCTGAATCTGCTAACCCTTACAACAGTGAGTGCTCCTGCTCCTTTAATTAAGAACTTATACTTACAGTGACTTCTAACTGGTTTCGCGATAATTATGTTACATGCAACCCATTTGATACCATATCTAACACTTTTGATAATTATGTTCAGGTCTTACAGAGGAAGTGTGGGACATCAGCTTGAAGTTATGGAACTTGAAGTGTGAAATTTTGATTGCCTTTGCACCATTTGTAGTTGTCATGGCGGCATTTGTAGCATTCATAATCTGGAATGGTGGTATAGTACTAGGTAAATTTTATCTCTAATTGCTCCTCCTTTTAAGTGAATTAAAAGATTTTAGCTGTTTGCTTAGTAATATGTTAAAATTTGCTAAAAGCAATTCCTTTCTTTGAGCTATGCAGGTGCTAAGGAAGCTCATGTTGTTTCGCCACACTTTGCACAGTTTCTGTACTTTGGTCTTGTGTCAGCTGCTGCCCTCCTACCATGGCATTTCACTCCCAACCGAGTATTGGACCTATTCCACTTGTCTGGAAAGAATAAAACCAGTAGTTCTCTGGCAGTATTAATGGGTCTTGGTTTAAGCTTCATCACTGTACATTTTTTCAGGTTTATTACCGGCGCTTCCTTCATGTCGTTTTTTGTCCAAGCATGAGAACTGCCACAATGACTTCCCACTAAACCTTTAGACGCTTACTGGTGATGGCTCAATATTTTGTTAAAACCATAATGAAGCTAGAAGGAAAGTAGCAAAGCAGTTTCACCACCATAATGCTTTATTTTAAGCGCAGAGCTAGAGTTGTAGTGCAATATATGCCACAGGAATCTTGACTCACTTTTTTTCTTTTAGTTAGACAATGATGTTTATCTTCTTTATTTATTCCCAATTTTTAATGAACCGGTCATCTTTTGATGCAGCATTGCTCATCCATATCTTCTTGCTGACAATAGACACTATACCTTCTATATTTGGAGGAAGGTTATCCAAGTAAACTGGATGATGAAATACATGTTGATTCCACTTTATGTGTACTCATGGCTCTCAATCATCAACATCTTAGGTAAGTCTGTTTTACTTGAACATAGGAAAGCTAACTACTTTCATAAGATTAATGAACTATATCTTCTGATTTTCTCATCTTGCAGGGAAATCACAGACAAGGATTTGGGTGTTATCATTTGTGCTGTCAGTTGCACTGGTCCTTGTACCTGCCCCACTGGTTGAATTCAGATACTACACAATTCCATTCGTGATACTGGTTCTTCACTCTCCAGCAATTAACAATGGCAAATTGCTTGCTATGGGGTCACTTTATGCAGCTGTTGACTTGTCTACTCTGGTGCTGTTTCTGTTCCGACCTTTCCATTGGGAACATGAGCCTGGAACACAAAGGTTTATGTGGTAGTTTAGGATAAAGCACGGGAAGTTGGTAATAGTGCAAAAGCTTCATTTTACCATAGTTTTGATTTGAACTTCTAACAGGACCATTAAGCATACCTGTGTCCGGTCTATTTGGATTCTCGAGTGAATTCAATGGAAGAAATCAAAACAATAGTGCTGAGTATTGTCATTTTCTTTTTGTCAGCTTTTATGTACACTAGGCATTCTAATCAAACCATTGCACAAGTCAAAAATAGGAAGTGGATACATTGTTTGATCACACGGCTTTGAAGGGCAACATCAATTTATATGGATTGATATTGAACAGGAAGTGCAGTGTCACGCCATAGGCAGGTGGTGCTGATAATTTTGACGAGCTTGCCCTCTTCGAGTCAATCGCAGCTGACTGAGAGAAGCAGCTTTGCAAATGGATTGATGGTTTCATTAATGTCTAGCTGGCTGAGAGGTTTCCTATGAGCTAATATTCTTGTATTGTTCTCCAAAACACTGTCGTAATTGAAGGAATGTTTGCACCACAAACTAATTGAGACCTTGTGATGGTTTTAACATTAGTTTCGAATTTGGGTTTTGGCTGCGTCTAAATTTAGCATATTTATCATGTTTGTTGAATATGTTGGACTGGTTTTTTAGGTCGATTTTCCAATTATACAGTTCATGGGCTGTCCAGAGATGCATTTAAAGTCTTGCAAGATGACACAAGTGAGGAATAATAAATTTTAGTTTCCTTTATTATAACATCCTAAAAATTGCTCCTTTTGAAACAGAGAGAAATTGAATTAATTTTGAATTTGTGTGCTCATGAAAACATAGAAAAAATAATAATTTTCATTAAATTAAAATTTATTATAGGATGTAGCAACATTGTTGTGCACATATGCTGGTGCATTTGATTTATTGAGGTAAGTGGGTTTAACCAAAAATTTAAAATTGAATTCAAATGTTTTTGAAATAGTTTTGAAATAAAAAAAAGAAAAATAGAAAACCCCCCTTCTCTGTTTTGGCCCGAGCGGCCCAGTTACCCGTCGCGGCCTGCTTCCTTTCCTCTTCCCCGCACCTCCGCTCCGACCTGGCCCGCTCTCCATCCCGTGGCCCAGTTCGTCTACGTCGTGCCATTTCCCTCTCTCACCGTCGACTCGCACGCATAGCCGCCCAGCAAAGCCGGCCCGCTCCTGCTCTTCTGCTCTCCCCTCGCCCGCCGCAGCCTGCTCCCTCTCCCGCGTGGCCCGCCTTCTCTCTTCCTAGGCCGGCCCAACCAAGCCGCTGGCGTCGCTCTCCTCTCTCCCCTGTGACGCTGACGGCCCGGCAAAAGCTGTTAGTCGCCTTCTTCGTCCCCGCGATGTCACCAAGCCGGACTCCGCCACCGAGGAAGTCTGCCGCCGCCCGACTCCGCGTCGGCCACGCCTCGTCCTTGCCTTGCATCCCAAGCTGCCCCCGGCCATAAATACCTGGCGCCCGCATCATGCCGCTTCCATCCCGAGCCTCGGAGCAAGCTCCTATCTCGTCGAGTCGCTGCGCCACCGCGAAACCCTAGTCGCTGCTGTTGCCGCCGAGCCCCTGCCGTCTCCATTCGCTCCAAGTCGCCGAGATCCATCTTGGTGAGTTTGTCTTGATCCCCTCTTTCTCCATGTGCTCTCAGTCCGTCAAATCGTGGACCGTAGGCCCTTCCCCAAGAACTCCGGCGAGCTTTTCTTCGCCGGCCATGGCGCCGCCGCTAGGATCACCGTCGACCATTTCTCTCTCCCTCGTCCAATCTGCACCGTCCGATCTGTGATCAAGGGCCAAGAATAGAAGATACCCTTTCGTCGTCTTTTTGCTAAAGAGACCCCCGACTTTTACAAAATCAACCCACGGTCCGTTTTCTCTCTTCCTCCTCCCTTCTAATCTCAGCCCTCCGTATCAGATCCAATGGCTGATAATCCTCGATACCCTTTCTGCCTGTAATTTTGCTAAAGAGCCTCTGTCAGTCCACTCCAGATTCAAAATTATAATTTTTATTTATTTTAATTCAAAATAGAAGATCCACTTATTTACAGTTTTGCCACTACCTTGTTAGGTCATATCTTCTACGTTTTAACTCCGATTTGATCCGTTTAAGTTGCGTTAGGTTCATAATTGCGTAATCTATATGTTTATACTACTGTTCAATATATTTTCAACTTTTGAAATTCGAGGTTAGATTTAATCTATTATTTTATTAAAGAAAATCTTGTTTAATTCATAACTTCTTCGTCATAGCTCCGATTAGAGTGTTTTTCGTGTCTGTGTGTTCGCAGTAACGTGTAGAACATCTTTAAAATATTTTTACTTACTGTTTATTATGTCTGATGTATTGTTCTAATTTAGTTCTATTGTTTGCTTTGTGTAAGATTGCATGGATGCTTGTGTTGTGCTTTATGATCCTGTTCACTCGGTGAGTTTTACGTGTTGATCACGAAGGAGTTCCTTTGAAGTTTTGGACTTAAAGAAGGATCCGAGTTTAAGACAAGTATAGCATGAAATCATCCTTGTTGTCCTATTCACCTTAATATCATTTTAATCATATACATGTGTCTACCTTGGCAACCGTAGTAATTTTTCTAGCTATTTGATATCCTGGATTCCTTGATTCCTATGGGTTATTGCATTGGGTAGTATGATGCTAGTGCTCAACTATAACCATGATCTTGTAACTTGACTAATGGAATATGCAGCAAACACTAAAAGATGTTTTTTAGCAACATGGAACAAGAGGACTAGAGCATTGGGCTGTTATTATGGTGCTCTAGATTCCTCTCCCTAAGGACTTATCTGTAAGCGATCATCCGGGACTTATAGTACAACTATGAGGGCTACATGGCTCTGGCTTTAGCTCAGTATGAGGATATTTTCTAGCTTATTAGATGTTACCTTTATTGGCGTAAGAATGACTTGACAAATCGGGTATAGTGCGGCCTCTGTCCCCTTATGTATAGGCTGTGCGTCATTGTGCCATCGGAAAGGGGGGCTCTACATCTGTTTGCCGAGTAAATCTAATGGTCCTAACTTGTTAGACGAATCTTTGAAAGGCTTTATAGTAAACCCTGCCGATCTTCTTTGGTAGTGGGTCAAGAGGTTGGCCGCCTCGGGCGAAAAGATAAATCACAACTCACAGTGAAAGTGTAACCTCTGCAGAGTGTAAAACTGGTATATTAGCCGTGTTCACGGTCACGAGCGGTCTTGGACCCTTAGAAATAGATGATGAACACTAACGATACTGATGATAAAGATGCTCACTAATAATTATTGTTTTTGCTATTCATTATTCATGTTTACCTGATCAAGTGTTTACATGGGCTAGTGATAAACTTGTAGCTACTCAATTGCTAAAATTGTGACAATTAAAAGCTAATCGCAGTTAAACCAGTGTCAGCCTTTTGAGCCTCATGAACCCCATGATATATTTGTTGAGTACGACATGTACTTACGTTTGCTTTACTTTTTAAATCTTTGGAAAAATCCGGATGGGTAGCAGATTGCTAGAGTTTGGAGAAATTAGGCTCGTGATCAACCAGTCAATTGTTCCTATAAAATTGGAGTCTTCACCCGAAGATCGGAGTTATCTTTTCGTTGTTTGTTGTTTAAGGTTATATCCTTTATATTAAGTATGTATATATATTAAGCATTGTCTATTGATATTACCTCTATTTGTGGCTATACGTGAGATTTAACATACCGGGCTCACATATGACGTGTATCTGGTTTTGTTCATAAAACCGGATGCTACATTTATCGATGCTACATTTATCACTAGTTGTATCCAGAAGGAATTAGTAGTCAAAGGTTTCCTTTATACAGTATCTTACTGTTTTAAAAGCCTCACCCAACAATGAGCCATACACAGAAGCTACACTGTACTTCTCGAGGATACAGATTACTGAACAGCTTATGCTGATTAACAGTAATGGCTACACAGGGAAACCATCAATCGCAGGACATTGTTCCGCACATTTCTTAAACATAGAGCCATATACAACATACAACATTTTTGCAACCCTCTACAAAATTCCAGTTGTTCACAATCACAAATTTGCATTATTTTTGTGTCTATCTTTGGTCTTCACAAGGAACTGACCCATGTTCTCCCAGGCAAAAACGGCAACCAGGATCAGATGGTTTAAGGATTCAATTAAGGATTCAGAGAGTCAATTCTGCTATCCTTTGTATTTTTGCATAATCCCTTCTTATCTTCCACAGCCTCTCCACAACCTCTTTCATGGATGGTCTGTCTTCGCGGGTAGGAGCGACGCACTGGAACGCCACATCAAAGATTTTGTTCAGTATATCCTCGTTCACTGCTTCAGTTAACATTGGATCCAGTATGTCCCTAACATTGCCTCTTTGGTACTTATTGAAGGCCTGTATCAACGATAGACTGAACCTCAGACATCTTAAGTCTAGGACGTATACAGCAGGAATGAAAAAGTACAAGCATGGGAAGGAGGTGGGTAAAAATTTAACCCAAAGAAACAATAAATAAGAGCTCATCTTTTATCTCTTTAACTCTACAACATACTTCTTCACTTAATTAGTAGTAATTTGTTTGCAATCTGTCTCCGGCTTCTAACTGGCACACTGGTCTACTTCCCTTGGAAAAATCACTATAGAGGAACTAAAGGGACATTATACTACGTACCTTATAACAATGCTAATGGCAGTCTGACAAAAAGACATCGGAAAAAAAAAACATCAATCCTCGAATTGGTGCAAGAGTAGGGTAGAGAATACATACCCATCTCACTGTAATCCTTTCTGTTGGACCCCTCCTTGCCTCAATAGGACGACGGCCTGAAAGGATTTCTAGGAGCAAAATACCATAAGAGAAAACATCGCTCTTGATCGTAAGATAGTTTGTCCTCAGATACTCTGGATCTACATAGCCTGCTGTTCCTTTCACATCAGTCTGAATCTGTGACTGGCCTGGCTCGGTAGGACCAGTTCTTGCAAATCCAAAGTCAGCCACTTTGGCCATGAAGCCTTCTGTCAGCAGAATGTTTGATGACTTCACATCCCTGTGTATTATGGGCTTCTCTAAAGGCAAAAGAGGAATAGCATCAAACTATGAATTGAGAAAAAATGCATGCATGTTTTTTTTTGTAGGAATGACAAAATTAAAATTTCTTGTTATCTGGGTGCATACATTACCACTTCATAACTAAAAAGCTGAAGAACATAAATGTGTTACAGAAACTTATTTTTCACTGAAGAGAGTTACACTGTTACATATCCATGGGCTTATTTCACATGTGGAACTGCATCATGACAAAAAATGTTTGATTAAATAGAGATCTGGTCGCAAGTTCGTACGGTCTACTTGGATTGGGTGGTTTGCTCTACAGATTTCAGATTTAGTTCCATTTTGGACTGAACCATAAGGAACTGGACCTCTATCACCCCATCCTAACAAGCCTTAGATGCAAAAGGAATTCTTTTTCATCTTCAAAAAAGTGCCCTAAGCATATTGGTTCACTTCCTTACTGCAGTTTTGAGCAGCACAAGTGCATGATTTGGATTGATAAAGACTAAATTGCCTGATGCTTAAGTACGTGAAGTGTGTACCTGCATAGAGATGCAGATAAGTCAATCCATGGGCAACATCTATAGCAATTTCAAGCCGCTGATTAAATCCCAAAATTAGGCCATGTTGACCTGAAAGAAGATTTCAAAATATTAGACCAATCATTTTGGAAGGAATACAAAAAACCTAGCAATCTGGTTTACCCTTACCATCCAAATGCTCCCTAAGAGTGCCATTTGATACGTACTCTGTTATGAGAATCCGTTCATTGGCTTTGTCAATATAACCAAGCAATCGGACCAAGTTCTTATGTTCAATATTTTTTAGTAATGCGACTTCGTTGCTGAATTCAGCACGTAAAGAGACAAAATTTTCCTGCCAAATGAAACCATATCAGAATCATAGTTCATACTACGAAGTATGGTCTACAAGAAAACTGCCAATGCAAAGGGAAGTTTATGAAGAAGCATATCGAAAAATAAAAACCAGCACGTAACATTATCATTGACTGATGGAGTAAAGAATGGAATATGAGTTCATAGTTCATCATCCAACCCCCATCTATCGGTCTATAAATATGGATCAAGTAATGGGTCTACAACATACCTAAACCTGGATTTGACACTCTACCTCAATCTTGATTCCCCAAAATACAATGCATACAAATGTGCGCTAATGCAGATGAGTAATTGTATGTATATAGAAAGGAAAGAGTACAAGATAAGGTCATGGTCCAATTGTCCAAATAAGTCTCAACACAAATAGAACATTCATAGCTCACCCAAACTGGCACCATGCGGGGTTAAAGCTAGACCATTGTAGCTAGGAAAGTTGCTAGAATAGTTGCCTGGACAAAAATAAGTTACCTTCTTTGCCCTTTTAATAGCTACGACATGCCCATCTCGCAGCGTCGCTCTGTAGGCCTTTCCAAAGTAACCTTCGCCAATCATCAAGGCCGGCGCGAAGTTATTTGTCAGTTTAACAACATGTTCAAGACTGAGGTTTAAAGGCTCGTTTCTACTTGGTGGCGAAGAAGACAATGAAAATCTAGATGGACTTGCAGGTACTCGAAGTGGGCTTCCAGGAATTCTATCAGAAATCGACCTCATTTCAGAATAATTCACTGAAAACAAATAAAAGCAATTTCACAATCGATGGTGAGTGTTTTATACAACCAGAAATAACAAGCATATATCTTGTTTGCTAGTATGAACTTTGTCCTGACAAACAGGTTAGCCATTGCTTCGCTGCGTTGACAGGTTTCATCATGATGAATGAAATGTTGTTTTCTGACTTACAGGAATTGGAATGTTCTGCAAGAACATGGTCTTCGCTTCCATCCTTCCTTTTTGAGCGAAAACAGGGGCAGAGGGACTCAAAACACACAAGAAACATTCCCGCAGTTGTAGCAGCTACCATAGTGCTACCTGTCTTCAGTCATCAAATAATGGGCAGAGATGTGCTTCTTCATTTGTGCTTGATTTCTTTATATGAGCACATTATGGATAGGAAACTGTCTTATATATGATTGGCACATAAAAGGCTGCCCCCCTTCTCATAGGTTCCATCAAAACAGGAAAAACAATAAAGCATTCAGTTTGGCAACTTTGAATGAGAAACAAAATTAGATACTGGTAGTACAAAATGAACTGACACTTGACATACTTCTATCATCAAAGAATTCACAATACAGTTGTTTCCAAAAGGTAAAATATGAAGAGTTCGATTGTGAACACACATACAATTTTGCCCTAGGAATTCCATTGCCTTTAGTATGTTGCCTGGCAGTAAATGATCATGCATTTATTATAATACAACTAGAGGTGCTGTACAGATTCATAGTTTAATAAAGAGGGGGGGCGCGGGGGGCAAAAAAACTAGTAGCCTAGTTTCTGTAGATTTCGTACGTTCGTACTCTGTACTAATCAGCCTAATTCAAACCGTTACTTTGAACTCGACCCGAACCAAGTGCTTAAACATAGGCAGGTAAACAGGAAGGAAAGCGAAAGATTAAACTGGGAAAGAAGACACGAGCAGCACCACAGTCCACAGCACCAGAACAAGGTACAAGAAAAGGAAGCACATGAGGATCCAAGGTGCCTCAAATGGCATATAGTGCCAGGCACGGTGTCTGTTGCCAATTAAAGCAAAACTATAGCTTTAGACATCTCAAAAAGGTCAGTGGCAACACTGTAACTTCACTGCTTCAGCCTCTAGAAGTCAAGCCCGCCATCGAAACCGTGCCAATCCTATCCCATAGAAAAATACTAAAAACAGCTTAGCAATGAATCTTTGCGGTCTGTTTTGAGGACTGCTGCTGGAGTTGCTCTCAGCGATGCCATAAAGCTTGCTAATCTGCAATCACCCAAAAAAAAAAAACAGGCCAGAGGCCAGACAGCAATCCGACCACGCACCAAATATTCTAACCGCTACCAATCGCCGGAACACGCATCTGGAGGCCGAGTCCTGGAACACCAGGAGTTCCAAGATTGTAAGGCGAGTACTCACCGGAGAGAAGAGAAGAGACTCGAGCGAGCACCGAGCTCCGCCGCGGCCAGCGATGCTCCCGCCCCGTCCCGTCCCGCCGCCCCAGCGCCTAATACCCAACCCAGCAGGCACGCACGACTCCTCGGGAAATCACTTGGACGGAAATGGCGAGGAAAGGGTGTTCCTCTCTCCTTTTCAGGAATTCACTTTTGATTTGATCGGATCTTTGCTGGTGGGCACTCCCTGCTGGCGTGGAAACCGTGTGTGCCTGCACCGGTAGGAGGAAGTAGCGAGGCGGTCGCCCAAGACCGACGACCGGGAGGAGAAGACTGGTAAACGACGCCGACGCGCTGGATATTGTTTGGGGCGGCTTGCTGCCAGGTGGGTCCCAGGGTTCGCGCGCGCGCCCGTGGCGGGGCGGCGGGTTGGTGTGTCGCTGCCGGACGGGGCCCTTGGGTTGTGTCGCTTCGGAAGTGACGAGGAAGGCTGCCTCGAGATACGAGGACTAGGACGTTGGATTGGGTCAACCCTCGAGACATCTCTCAAGTTCATTCAGGGTCTGCTTGGAAAGAGGAAAAGAAAACAGAGGAATGAAAAAAACACAGGAAATAAGGATATATGAAGTGAGAAAATAGAGGATTGGAAAACTTCAGAAAATATATGAGAAGAGGTGTTTAGAATGCAGAAATTATAACATAGGAATATGAAAAATGAGACTAATAAAATAGCATTTCACACCATAATTTTCTTTGAATTAAGAACCACGTGTAAATGATTTTGTACGGGTGGCAATTCCTCTCCAATCACTATTTAGGTCTGGTCCATAGACCTAGTCTATTCACAGGCTCTTCACGCACCAGCAGTCCAGTATACGTCCTTATCCACTTCTATCCTTCCCCTTCCTCTCCCATCTCCCAGGGCTGTAGTTGTTCTCTGTTCTACTCTCGATCTCTGCAATCAAGAAGCTAGTAGCTCTAGCACATGGCAAATAGAACAGGCAACAATCAAGAAGGGGGGGCTACTGCTGGTCTTTGGGGGTGCACTCCAGGGCTTTAGACAGTGAGAGCGCGAGTCAGCTCCAGTCAGTAGCGGAGGCGGAGCCTCAGGGTTAATTAAGAAGGGAAACACGATTTGCAGCGTAAGTGCACAATTAATCGGCTCAGCTGCGTTTTACACTTGTTGGCTCGTTGCCCCGACAGTCCTAAACAGTTTGCTGTCTGGTTTCTCTCTTCTTTTTTCCATATAAAAAATAAAATGGAACAAACATGTAGATTTATCGCATTTCTCACTTGCAAAGAATAGACATGCACAGCATGCGGTTCCAAAGAATATATGAAATTTAAAGTGACTCTGTTGGACAAAGTCATATATACTAGTAACTACCGCAGAGAAGAAGAGATATATACTACATAAAAATATGGCAGAAATGCTTACTACTAACGTACAGTATAAGATTTCTTTTTAAAACGAATAAGACAGGGAGCTGCCGATTATATATAAAAAAAGAATAACCTAGACTAAACAGTAAAACAGAACTACGAAAATAACAACAACAAAACTCAACAAAAAACAACTAGCTCAACTATCACAACGGCCGGTTGGATTGAGACCTCAACACGCGCCGTGCAACAATGCCAAATTTTTACAGCGGTTTCATTGTATTATTATGTGTTCACTGTAATTTTTGTAGGTTTAGAATAGACCAAGCATTAAGGTAGTTAAATGCTCTTTGTTTCAATATACATTAAATCACTAGTAGAAATTAAAGATATATCCTTAAATTGTCAAGGTAATGGTTTGTTAGTTGAACCCAACACTTTGCTTGATGAAGATTATAGTTAGCTTAGTACCTTAGTCATTAGAGCTAGCTTAGTAGCTTAGTATGCGTATTCTTATTTTAAGAATTGTTACCTAAATGCTAAGTGTTGCATCATCATTGTATGAATATAGAGAACGAGTTGGTAGAGATAGAGACCACAGACGATCGTGAGTTTGAGGAGATCATCGAGGAGTACGAGGACAAGATTCTCGTGCAGGAGGAGGTCCCGAAGCCAACGATGACTGACTCAGCTGACACCGCGCCTGCCCAAGACAAGACCCGGTGCATAACCCTTATTTTTTATAATCACTGAATATATGTGTGTGTGATGTGCATTTACGTTACAGGAATTTTATGAAAACCATATGTATAGATATATTTGTCCTATGAGTCTTACTAGTGCAGGTTCGAGTAGCCGTTATGCTTAGAGTTTTCGATAGCGTGAGTAACCTGCCGTTACTCACAATAAGTGATTATTATAATTACTCTCATGATAAAAATGATGAAAGAAAAATGGAGACCGGATAGGGATATGGTATGGGTTATGGTGGATGTAACGAGTTGTGTCCCGCGGCCACGGGGCTTAGCTTAGTTACACTATTTTTCCCTGTCCGTGTCGGTTGAGGACCGCCTGTTGCTGTGGATGGTAGTCAGGTCACAAACTTTTTATCCTTAGCACATACTTGCTTATGGGAGCGGGAAGGCTTGTTCCGCTCTTGTTGTGGGTTCCGGCTCTTTCTGGACCGGACCGATTGATTGGGGGAAAGATGGAGGTCTAAACACCATATTGAGACCAAGTCTCAAGTATGGGGGCTTGGAGTCCAAGTTTGGACGGAGACTTGGACCCCGTGACAAGAGTGAAATGGGTTGGTCTTGTTTGTGCCTGGGATACAAATGGGGCGTGTGTTTCGGATAACCAATGGGATATATTGGTTCGCGAATCACCGTTTTCGTGAGACAGTACGACTTGGCTATGGTCTAGCAATCGTAGTAAGAACTGGAAGATGAAAGATGATGAAATAAATCTGATTGCTCAACCCTTGCTCGAAAGTAGAATAGGTGCTTACCTAAAATGGTTAGTTAATGAAGTAATCATGACCGCTAATAAAACTTGAATGTAAGGACGTACTTGTAGTAATGTTTTTCACAAACAAAAAGAAAGTAGCAAACCCATATTGCCTATCATATCCCTTGGAGTCGGGAAACTATTCCCACTAGTCGGGTAAGTCTTGCGAGTATATTGTGTACTTAGGGTTTATTTTACCCCGTTACAGGTGCAGCTTGAGGAGTAACTCTTGTGTAGAGGATTCTTCTGGTGGCCACATACGGATCCTTGTATCGTTTCCGCTAGATTTTTTTATTCCGTTGTTTAATTATCACACTCTGAATCTTGGTATTATAATAAATAATTTCCAAGAACTCTTGTTGTATGAAATGGACTAAGTATTGTAAGCTTGTACTCATTATTGGATTCTGGAGGTAAAACGTAGATTGATTCGAGTTCTCCTGTGGTGTGTGCTCGATGGAACTATTCGATGTATCTAACTTTTGAGGTGCTTAGTGTCTAGTAGAAGACGAGCGTCTCCGAAAATGTGTTATTTTCGGACGATTCTGCCATAGTGGCCACCCTATGTCAACACGGCTCCAACACCGTTACCACTTGCATCCGTCTCCAGGATGAAAGGTTTGGAGAAGTCTGGTAAACCCAAGACTGGGGCTGAGGTAATTGTTTGCTTTAGAGTGACAAAGGCCTCCTGATGCACTGATCGATCGATGAAAATGGCTCCTTTCTTGAGTAAATCCGTCAAAGAGCGTGATATGATGCCAAAATGTCAGACAAATCGGTGAGAGTAGCCAGCCAGTCCCAAAAAACTACGGAGATCTTTTGCTGATGTGGGCGCCGGCCAATCGAGCACGACTTGAACCTTAGCCGGATCAGTGGCCACTCCGTTTCCGATATAACATGGCCAAGATACTTGAGCCGCCGTTGAGCAAAAAATGCATTTAGACATTTTGAATTATTTATCTCTGTGCAACAACTCCAGAACTTGTCGAACATGTTGCACATGTTCCTCATAGGTACGGCTGAATATTAAGATATCATCGAAGAAAA